GCATAGGAATTCATTCATTTTTTTTTCAAACTATAGACCGGCCCTCCAACAGTCTGAGGGACAATGAACTGGCCCCCTGTTGAAAAAGTTTGAGGACCCCTGCCGTAGAGTCCGCTGAATATGGAGACTATGGAAGAGGGTGGGTTCAAGGCACACCCGAGGTAAGTTGCATGCATCCAGGCTATTGAGAAGGACACATGCACTGGTCAGTTTTCAGTGCCTAAAGCTGTACTGAGAGAAGTCATGGGGACCTTAGCATTTATTTGAATCTTAATCACTTTTTCATGTGATCCGTAAGTCATTGGCACTTGCATTTTAGCAGTGACCATTCCCCATTATCTGCTGCCATTGGGAGGGGCTTGTGCATGTTCAGCCAAATCAGGGGTAGGTGACTTGCAGCCATCAAGATGTGGGACTGCAGTTCCCATCAGCCTTAGTCAGCAGGGCCAACTGTGCTTGTTGCTGAGAGTTGTGTGAGCCCAAAGCTGCCCACCCTTAACTACTCGTAATTTCATTTAGGTGGTTGTACTTGCTTATATTACTCTGATTCTTATTATTTGGTTTGAGTCATCTTTTCACAGAAGCTCTCAAGTAAATAATACCTGGAGTAATTTGGAACCATCCAGAGAACTTCACTGATTGGACAGTGTACAAAATGCAATAAATTAAAAATAATGTCTCTTGCTCGCTTGCTTGTATCTCTCTCTCTCATGCACACAAACAGATTAAAAAAACTAAAACATATTGACTAGTATTTCATCACCTGCAGCAACTAATTTAACTCTGGAAAGAGATCAAGCTAAAAACAATGGTATTTGGCATATTAAAAATAATGCAAGCAACAGTTGTGAGCCTCAGATTAAAGGTTGTCGCCAGGAACCAAAATGTCAACAATGTAGGCAATCTATAATTTGGGAGCCACTGAAGAAAAGGCTTGCTCATGAGTAGTCTGCCACCAGGCCTCAATGCATGTGAGTGCTTGGAGCAGGGCCTTGAATGGCAATCTCAGGGCACAGGCAGGGATAGATGGAAAGAGGCCAACCCGTGGTCCTGAGCTGTGAAAGGCTCTGTAGGCTAGTCCTCGCCAATTTATCTTCACAACAACCCTGTGAGGTAGCTTAGGATGAAAGTCTCTAACTGGGAACCCTCCATGAAAGAAATTAGGAGAGTAAGTACTCGGAGGAGGGCTTTCTCTGAGGTGGCGCCCAACCTATGGAATTCACTCCCCAAAGAGGTCCGCCTGGCACCGTCGTTACTGGTTTTTCGGCGCCAGGTAAAGACCTTTTTATTTAAACATCATTTTAATTGTTAAAACATATGATCTGGCCAGGGCAACTTCTTCTTCCTTCTCTTTTCTCCTCCTATATTATTTATTTACTTATTTTATACTGATAATTTTAATTTTACATTATGTTTGTAACTCAGTGTATTTTTTGTATTTTTGTATTTAATGGTAATTTATTATGTTCTATTGTATTTCAATGTATTTTATTGTGTTGTAAGCCACCCCGAGGCTTCGGCAAGGTGCGGCATAGAAATGTAATAATAATAATAATAATAATAATAATAATAATAATAATAGTCACCCAGTGAATTTCATGACTGAGTGGGGACTGAAACCCAGACTGTATGGGTCTCAGTCTGATCTTCAGACCTTCCTCCCAGTGTGGGAAGGATGAGCATGGGGCCCTATGGGGGCACTGAAGTTAGGTGCAAGGTCAGAATATGTGGTCCATTTCCCCATACTCTTAGAATGTGCAGAGGAAAAAAGGTACAGTCTGTGACATATCTGTGCATAACTCAAAGTGGCTGCAGGAAAACTACAGTGTGCTAGATTTGCTGGATTCCAATGCCCATCACCCTCAACCAGTATGGCCAATAGGCAGGGACCATGGGAGCTGTAGCCCAACAATATCTGGAGAGGCGCTGCTTTCTGATCCTCTACAAGATAAAATGAGGACCATCTGCAACAGCAGCAACTGGAAATAGTAAGAGCATCTTCCTAGCTTTGCAAAGACAAATTAAACCCCGTCTTGGGATTGAGGCCTAACTAAGAGCATCCAATTTCTCCACACAGAGCATTTATTGTGTACTGATGATCCTTCACCCATGGATGCCTGCCTGGCCTTTTTATGACATTGCCATCCTCCAGGGTCTCTGCCATGTTTTCCACCCATATTTGCAAGGCGGAGGTGGGGTGGGGTGGGGGGTAGAGTGACAAAATCCAAATTGCAACAAAATGGAACAAATATTTATGCAAAATCACAAATCCACTATGCCACAGCTGTTCCGTGGTGTGCTCTCCTGCTTGGTTAACCGAAGGTATAGAAAGGCATAGAAATACAAAGTCCAGGTTGCAGGGGGAGCTGTGCAAAGGATGCATTTTTCTTCCCACAGTGTTAACAGAAGCGGCAGCCTCATAGCAGGGTAAAGCCGTCACACCGAGAGGCCCTTACAGATCAGTTGCAGCACAATAATTTCACGCAATAATGAAGGCTCCCTCTGAAGTTCTTTTATTGTTGGATTTTGGCTGTATGTCTAAAAAACAGAATGCACCAAGGCTGTGGGTGTCTGTATGTTGTAATGCATAGATAAACCCTGCTAGAACAAGTCTGCTCCCTATCCAACAGCTAGTCTTTTTCTGTCATTTTCCTGGAGCATTGCCTCGCCATATGGGAGTCCCATTTACCACCAAAACATCACTGAAAGCTGTTGGAGAGAAAGCAAAGGTCAGTACACAATTATGTGTTGATAGTTATTCCGTTCAACATTTCTTGGCAGCAGTTTATTATGCGCAGTCTGTCATGCTTGCTTTGAATCTCTGGACCCCCAATATAGAAAAGGAAATATAACAGCGGATCTGTATCTTGAAGCTAAGCAAGACACCTGAAGGTTGTGTTTGTGCATATTTGATGTTTAGAAAGACTATGCCCTGGGTGTTTTTTAACTATGAAAGGGGTGTTTAGTCAACTTCCTCATGTGAAAATATTTCATTTCCAAGATGGAAGGAGGAGAAGGGAGATAATACTTTGGTAGGGTGGCCACTGATGGATCAGCAAAACAGAGGAGAGTGGCTTGCACAGAAATGGCATACATTGATTTATATGTACAGGGACAAATTTATAAACAATTATTCTGATAATTCTAATAGACAATGGTCTATTTCTCCCAATGCTTTCTACTCTGAATGGCAGCAGCTCCACAAGGGATCAGGCAAGACTTTTACCCAGCACTTCTGCTAAGATGGTTTTAGCTCAGAAGTACACAGCCCATCAGTCGATTATAGTCCTCAGTGGAACTCAGTCTTGTTTCCATGGCTTCCCCTCATTCTCTTGATGCAGCAAGGAAACAAGGCTCAGTATCGCTACTGAGATGTATTGTGCATCAAAGGATGTTGAGATTCCAGTGAGAATGTGAGCATATATTCTGAGATAATGAGACTTAAATAGATGTCACCTCCTGGTTATTTACTGACAGGAAATACCTTTTCACACAATGGTGTGGAATCAGTCCCCCATGCTATTGAGTTCATTCATTCAAGCCAGCACAGAAACAGAAATTGGATGGATTTGGTTGACACTGTTATGATGCTGTGTGTATGAGAGAGAGAATGAGATAGATAGGGAGAGAAATCTTAGCATTCTGTGCTTTCACGTTTCAGCTTCTTTGCCTCACGATTTTCCTCTCAGTCACCAGCACAGGCTGAAATTCCAGCCCAGTCTCTGAAAATTTCGCTGGAAGATTCAAAGAGCAGGCAGTGACTAGCCATCTTTCTGTGCCATCTCACCTTTATGGGTCTGGTGTGGTGTTTGGAGCTAATCAGTGTCACAATACTTGCGACCACAATGCCCTCATCTAAGAAGAATCTCTCTTCTCCCCCATCATTTACAAATATTAACAATGAACTGGAAGTATTATCATCTTCTCAAAAGAGCCTGTAGCCTGTAATGTAATAATAAGAATCCTCCTCCTCCTCTAGTCCAGAGATGTTTCCCATTCAGCCTGCAAAACCTCCTTAGCTTCCTGCAGAGGAATTCTTGCTGTTGTCTCTCATCTCCTCAAGGCTTTGTGATATACACCAGCTGCCATTTGGTGAATTGTGAATTGTTGAAGTGTGAATTGTGAATTGTTGGCACGTTAACAAACCACTCACAATCCCAAAGCAGCCCATGGAAATAGTGCAAATGAGATCTCTCCCACTCTGCCACCCCCCCTCCTCCTCCACCAAACACAATGCCAGGAGAAGGAAAGATTGTTCTTGCAAGAAGTCTGAATTGATTGTGTAGGGAGGGCTATCAAAATTAGGTAATGGGCAACAATAACTGAAACTAAAATGCAAGCTAATCACCACAGCAAAACATACAGCAATTTAAAAATATAAAACTAAAAATATAATTAGTGAAGACTAAAGCAAGGACAAAGCTTTTGCAGCAGGCAAACTAAAGACTTGGCAGAAAAGAGACAAAACAATAGTAAAATGGAAGATAAATGACTCTCCCACAGCAAGGAGGTCCATATCCTATATGTCACAGTGGAAAAGAAGAAGGCTGATCCAGATGTAATGCTAAACCGGGGATCAGAAAGTTGTTGCCTTCCAGATAGTTTGACTTACAACTCCCATCTGCCCTGCTTAGCATAGCCAGTGGTGGGAGATAATGGGAGTTGTAGGCCAAAACATTTGGAGGGATAGAAGCTGCCCTCTCCTGTGCCTGCCCACTCCAGTTTAACATCATTCCGGCTCTTCCCAGGAACTTTCTCCTCCTCCCTTTCCCAACTTCCCCTTTCACTTAGTGTAATTTGCCCTACTACTTGAACTTGGAAAAAAGGGGTCAATCATCTGCTTTTACTAAGCAGAGTTAAGTTTAAACTCAGTTATGCAGTCTGATGAATTGCTAAACTGGGGTTAGTCTTAAGCAATCTCTTAATATTCATTGATCATCTGAAGCATTACATCATTGTCAATGATGAAACGAAGCAAGCTATGATGTATATTAATGCACCTTGATTGTCCATTGGAAAACAGGTACTGATTGTTAATCCATGTTGAATTTTGGCCTTTCTTCTGATTCGTCCTGGCTCTGTTTTGAAGAGACAGTACCATAATCCAATTTGTGACTTAAGTTGGTGTTTTATACTGAAACAGTTCACATTTTAAAACCTCTCTCTCTCTCTGTAATTATGCTATTTTTTATATTTAATTTTAACCACTACATTGTTTTAAATGTTACTTTTAAACATTTTAAATACGCACACACACACACACAATTTTTAATTGGATGCTGCATTGGTGCTCATTTTGTTTGATTCTCTTGATATGTAAAGCAGGTAGAAGACCACAGAGGCTGTTGCCAAGTTGATACAGACCAGACATGGCCAGAAAATAAATCTATCAATAACAATAAATGTGGAGATCTATTAGATTTATAGCCCACTTTTTCCTTACAAAATATTCAAAAAGGCTTACATCCTTCTCTTCCTCTTGCTCTCCGTTTTATACACACAACAACCACTGGGAGGTAGGTCGGGCTGAGAGTCTGTGACTGGCCCAAAGGCATCCAGTTGGCTCCATGGCTGAGCTGGGACTAGAACCCAGATTGCCTCAGTCCTGTGCTCTTAACCACTACACCACACTGGCTCTCCTGGCTATTGGCATACCTACTGGGGCTTCTGGGGACAGAATCAGAAACGCTTAGCGATCTGTCTCCTGTGTACCTCTGCTGAGCCCTATTGCTTATCTACTTAGCTAACTACGAGTTAGCATATTGAGTCATCTTTGCTAAGCTGAAAAGTTGCAGGCCTGCAGTTGGATGGGTGGGTGACCAATGTGGGAGCAGAGCAGGGCTGGGACTCGATGGTATTATAGGCCCCTTCCAACTCTTCTACTACTCTACTCTAGATGTACCACTGACTTTATTCACTAAAAAGGCAGCTCTGTATATTCTGCAATCAGGTTATTAAAAGCTGCTAGGCTGGAAGATGACACCATTCACTACTTTGCAGCAGGCAATTCAGAAACCTCCAAGAAAAATAGAAGAGCCTTCAAAGTAGGTTAAAAAATAAGAGAACAAAACAGCTTTGATCCTAATGGAAAGCAACATCGGCTTGGTCTGATGAAAACAATTCCTGATCTCTCTTTAACAAGCAGAATAGTTTTTTCCTGGACCAGGAAAGAAGTCATCAACTGCAGAGACGCCACTGGCATTGTCATACAAGGCTGCCATGCGAGCGCTCCAGAGCTGAGCACTGAAGGCAGTGGGTTTCCTGTACAATACAATTATGTGACCATCCAACTGACCACATAACTTACCTTTCTGACAAAGTGCCAGAAAAATCTCTGCTTTGTTGGAGATCTTTATAAAAGGGGGCAATTTCCCTGCTACTTGTTGAACTGCAGCCAGTCTGCCTGCCACTTTCCTTTCCTTCATGTCATCTACATTCAGGGTGGATTTTTTATCCCACAAGTAAAATGTTGCGCGTCTCCAACATCCAGGAAGTTGTGCTACAGGTGGGAAGCAGCGGGACAGTAATTTCAAGAGGCAGAGCTGGTTTATCCACCCATTGCAGACCAGAAAGGGGCAATTTAGAGAGCCCATTCACCTTTCTGCAGCCCCTGGGGCACTTAAATGGACATCCTAAATAGACATCAGAATGTCCTACCCTTATCATGAATAATACTAGGATAGCCTGATAGGATTGTTGCTTCCTCCCACCATGCAGCGCAAAGGAGTACAATTCTACAGTAGCATGGCCAAGAGGCCTAAAACCAGGATGCAAAGATGGTAAATCGGCCTTCCCCAACCTACTGCACCCTAGATGTAGTCTTTGGACTACATATCCCATCATCCCTGACACAAGCCACACTGGCAAGGACTGATGGGAGCAGCAGTTCTGAATATGTGGACTGTAACAGGCTGAGGAAGGCAATACAAGTTTTTTGGAGTCCCCTTGGCATCAAAGCCAGTTTTTAACCAACTAGACCTATCAACAAAATGAACCATTGCCATCCATTGAAAATAAAATTGGCTCTCGCTTCTTAGCTCGCCCTCACTTCTGATTTCTCTTCCGTGCCCCAGCCCTTGCAGTCAGCACTCATAAGAACCCCAGAAGGGCCACACTGGATCAGACTGAAGGCCCAGCAGTCTGTTCACAGATGACCAGCCAGTTGCCTGTGGCACCCTCCTACCCATATTCCCCAGCAACTGCTAAGTATGGTCATGCTACCTCTGACACTGGAGGAAGCATTTAGCTATGAGCACCAGTGGCCATGAATAGCCTGATTCTCCGTGAAGATCAGGCTGTCTTTCTGTCCTGCTGATAGATGTGCAGCATGCACTCCCAGGAGCCCTCCCAGCTAGCTCCAGCCAAAGGCACCACCCACCCCAGCCCAGTCTAGATCCTTGTCTGAGTAATAAATGCAGTGGCCTAATTTAATCTGCAACAGGATGTCAGCAAGATGAAACAAAACAGCCCTGATTGCCCACTCAGAAGGTGGCCATTTAAGGCTATCTAGGTTTATCATGACCGAACCTTGCAATTGTTGTGGATGGAAGCATCATGCACGCCGTTGCACTCACCCAGACACCCACTGACCCTCTGTACACACTCAGAGGAATTCCGCTCTTGGTTGAGCTTTATAATGATATCATTTCTATTAATTATAACGGTATCATTGCATGGGTGTCTCGTGCAGGTGAAAGAACTGTGGTATATTCGGTACACAAAGCAGCACTACAGTAATTTAGGGTGTCAGTCCTGATCGCTAAAGCAGGGACCATGAACCTCTTTCAGCCCAAGGACAAAATTCAGTTTTGGAGACTCTCTTGATGCTGAAGCCTAGTGAAGGGCAGGGGTGAAGGCACAAGGAGCCATTGCCAAATCAGCAACTCCACCTTCCTCCGTGAAAGTCTGTCTCTGAGGCAGGACAAAGAGCCTCATACCTGGGAGATGGTGGAGGACAGGAAGGCCTGGAGGAATGCTGTCCACAGGGTTGCAATGGGTGGAACACGACTTCTTCGCGACCAGCAGCAACCACCACCACCACCTGGCAGGGACCCAGAAGAGATGGGACCTTCTGTGTCATGGGCCATGAGGGCTCCTTGGGCATCGCCAAACAAGGCAGTAATAAATAGATTTAGTTGGGCACACTGAACAGCTGCAGGATGGCTGTGCCACCCACAACAGATCAGCTTTCCCCAACGGGATGTCCTCCAGATGCATAGGACTACAGCCTCCATCACAGCTGGTGAGGATGATGGGAGCTGTAGTGCAGCATATCTGGAGGCACCAGGCTGGGGAAGACTGTGATCCACATGTAACAAGAAACCATCATTTTTGTTGTGTGTGTATATTTGAATCTTCAGGTGCAGTGGGTGTATGTTTTAGCTTCTTGTTTCACCCACGTGTGCTGAGGATGGGTTCTTGGGATATTGACAAGCCAGACCCTAAAACAGTCCAGGGGTTCTGGGTGGCTGGTGAACCAACCCAGTAATCCACCCTTGCCAGGTTTACAAATAACAAGAAGCTGCAATGGCAGAGGCTTGGATCACCAACTGGATTTCATGGTTACTAAGTTACTGCCACAATTGTAGGAACCAGATCAGAATGTTTGCATGGCCGTTAATTTGAGTGTCTGGAGATTCATCTAAAAACCTGATTTAAATGCCCAGACTCAGAAAGGTGACATAGAAATGATATCGTTATAAAACTCAACCAAGAGCAGAATTCCTCTGAGTGTGTACAGAGGGACAATCACACACTTATGGCAGGACTTGCACACCAAAGCACATGGTGTTCTGCATCTGGGCATATTCAGTGAAACTTTTCCTCATTCAGTTGGAAGCCAGGGTATGCTGCAGAAAACAAGAAAGTGTTTCTGGATGGGAAATCATGTGAAATGGGAAGAGTTGAGAAGTGCTCCCCTGGGAGACACAGAATGGAATGACCACCAGGTAGGCAAGAGAGAGAAAGAGAGATTGTATTTATCAACTCCATGCACTTTCTTGCAAGAGACATGAAGCTTCCAGCAGAAAGCAAAACAAAAATGTGCATCTCATTTTTTTGCTCAGGGTTAAATACATACTTGTGATTGAAGTCAAAAGCTTGCAGATCTTTGGCCCCGGCACTTTCCCTTTTGTCTGAGATTCTCCGAGGCTTTGCCTAGCTGAACACTCTTAAAAAAACGAATCTTGCTTGCCATTTTCAAGGACTAGAAAATATGAACAAAGGGGACATATTGAACTCCCCTTAGCTATCACAACAAAGCTTGCTGATTTACACAGGTACAAGAAGCTCCAACCATGGAAGGACCTCAAGGTCAGAGTCTTTTTCTGATCCAGAGTCTCACCATTTCTACCTAAGAAGCCAAGGTACCACACAGACAAAGTTGTTTTGACTATATTTTTTTTTGCATGGCACGTCTGGATTGTTCCTCCAGCAGCCTACAATTCTTGCCTGATAAATAACCCGGAGACAGAGCATTCCTGGGTTGTTAGCTTTGCTTGGGTGAAACAGGGAAGGAATTATTATTATTATTATTATTATTATTAATTACATTTCTATGCCGCCCCTTGCCGAAGCCTCGGGGCGGCTTACAACACATGAAGCATGCACTCACTCCTGCTTCTTTTCCAATAGCCCACAGTTTAACAAGCTGTGGTTTATTGTGCCACCACTGCTACTGATTTATTTATTGTGCAGCTATACTGCCCAACAGCTGAAACTTTCTGGGTTTTACATCAATATGCAAAAAAAGAGCCAAAACCAAATACAAAACTATTTTTCCAACATACAACATTTAAAAAGCAAACAGCCAAAGCAATTCCAATACAACTGAACCTATCAAAAACAGGTGAAACACCCTGAAGTGCCACCAAACAGATTCCATGCCTGGAAAAAGAAGTTAGTCTTAACCTGGTATGCAAAAGACAACAGAGGTGGCTCCAGGAGGGGTCTACAAGGCTACATCTTTGTGCTTGCCTGCACCCAACTAACTCGCTGAGCACTGTTGGGATATTAAATTTGACCAGGTTGTACCAATTTCACTGAATATGTGCTCCCAAAGATGATTTC